TACGAGACGTACACCACATGCTTTGTGTGAATACATGTACGCAGGCTTTATGATCCCTCTCTTCACGCGATAATGCAGCTCAACCCCTCAGCCGGTGCATTGTGGTGCTGTTCTAATATTATCTACCTGCCAAGAGATTAGCTCTAATCAGGCACATGTCAGGCTCCTGCAAGCCACTGTACACCTGTGGTCCATTATGAGATCTGTAATACCCCACATGTTGTGTGTTTTTGCAGAAAACTATATTTAATATAGTTTTCTCATGCACCAGAGGCATCAGGTGCTTTTCTACACATATGGCAAAACTGAGATAGATGCAGAAACTCATTTTGAAGAAGTCGGAAGCTAACGTGTTGCTACACCCACAAAAACTGCTCCATTGTGCTGTAGCTTCACTGTAGAAGCTTCCAAACTCAACTCGATCAGTGTGTGTGTGTGTGCGTGCATGTGTGTGTGTGTCCATTCAGTAGGAACTGCTTGTCACCAAACGAGGCCATGCTGGGTGGCCTTGGAAAAATTCCTGGCACCACTCCCATCTATCCAAATGGCCGCGGCACATTCGTGTCATAATCATCTCATTTGCAGACTCTTTTCTTCTTCTCTCTCGCTTCTTCTTTTTTTCCCCTCAATGTCCATTTGTGCCTCGTGCACAACATGCGAACATCGTCGAAAAAAACAAAAACACGGCCTACGAAAGTTATGAGAGAGGAACTTGTGGGATACATTTCGGCATCTGATGTGTCTGTGTGGTTGTGTCGGAGATGCTCAGACTAACACCTTTTGATTCAGGTGAATACTTACATGCAACATTTTCAAGACTTTTACGATCACGTCTTTCCAAAGCTCTTATCTTCTCTCTCTCACACACAGACAGGGTTTCCTGTACTTCCTTTAATGACAGTATCCATAAATCACAGATACGTTTCCTGTGCTGTTTTCAAAACAAGTTGCATGTTAAGAGATTTTATTTCTCCATCATTTAATTTTGACGCAAAGCAACTGCTTCTTGTACAAACACACACACACACACACACAAACTGCAGTACAAAGTCAGTCTTTGATGAAGACAAAGCAAAACTAAGGGCCTGAGTCGGGCCCCTGATGGCCGTCCCATAGCCTGAGGACAGACGAGCAGCCTTTTTAATCCTGCGCAGCTGAAGCAGAGCCACGACACGGGCACCAGCAGGCAGACAGAGACACACTACATACGATGTGAAGATAACAGTTGTGTTAACCCCAATTTCTCTCTTCCTCTGTCTTTGTCCATCGTCTCTAAAATGGATCAATGCTGCAGCTAAACAGTTGGAACGTGAAGTCAGAGAAAGGCCGATAACGGAGGCACTGCAGAGGAGTCTCGGCTGAAAAGAGTCTCATGCGAGCAGAGCAGACAGAAAGAAAAGTGAAAGACAGTGAAATGGGAAGCGCGCCTCGTGGCTAGCCTGATTTATTGATAGGCCCACATTTGGCGTCCAGAGACTTCCTCCGAGACAGGATGCCAGTTTAGCAAGGAAACACTTTCTGTGGTGTAAGATTCAACACAGGGACTTAAAAAAGGAGGTTTGGGTCTAAAAATAGTCGATGTCTGCGACAGAGGGCTGTTTTTAAAGATGGTTACACAGAACCAGAGCTTGTGTCTCTGCACAACATTTGAATTGTGCTGTTTTGGCTGAAGAAAGCAGAAAGAAAGACTCTGATGATTTATTGAAAACCCAGAAGCTGAAAAGAGAGATCAGTCAGTTGAAACAGAATTGTTATCAGTTTCAGTTTGTTCCGTATTAAAAGCTCGGGGCTTTTAGTTGGACCCTCGTCTTTGAATGTTTTCATTGATATAGTTCGTGCTCAGCTTCTAATCGGATCAAGAAAACAGTTTTAACCCTGGAACAAACAGAACGAGGTTATAATCTGATATTTTTATTGATATCTTACCAGGAAACCTACTTGAAAATAAACTGGATGTAACTGACATGGTTGAGTAGTTGTAAAGGCTCATTGATGAATTCACAGGGTTCACAGACAGATTAAGTCTATATACAGACTAATGATCTATAGATCTGACAAACTTTATTTCTAGATTTATACATTCAGGTCAGGTTTTTATATCACAGACATGGATCACTTGATTCAAAATGAGTTTATAGATTAAGCACAAGATTCTCTAGACTGAGAGTCTATAGGTTAAAGACGCATGTTTCAAGAATTAGAGCAAGGGTCTAGAAACTATGGACGGGCATCATAGATTACAAAAAGACAGATGACTGATAAGGGACAAATGTAGAAAATATATAGAACCTTATGGATTTAAAATGGTGGGCTACAGATTAGGGGCAAAGACTGTCTGCCCATTAAAGACAAGAGTCCAAAGTTTTGAGAGGTTAAGACCCGTCATCATATTTGAAATGAAGGTCTACAGATTTAAGATGAGGGTCCAACGATTCCAGTTCTGCGTGCAAATCCATAAATTAAACCCAAGGGTCTATAGACGTGTCGGACAAGAGGGTTGGGTTTGTAGACAGACAAATCAAAAGAAGGATCTTTAGATAGAGAGCTCACAGATTCAGAAGGAGATGGTCTATAGATAACAGATGAGGGTCTATAGATAGGGTACAAGGTCCAACCAACCCAGCATGATAATGTTTAGCTCCAGGACTTTATATATTAACACAGTCTATACATGCAGAGTCCAAAGATTCCAAATGAAGGTTGTTTGATTAAGGAACCTGGATCTATAGATTTAGGATTCGGGTCTGCAAGTTCTACAAGCAAGCCTGTAAATAAAAGATGAGGGTCTGCAGACGTAGAACTAGAGAGTTTGCAGCTAAGAGGTTAAAACCTGGAGCTTTACATGGGGGGGTGTCTAGATTCCAGATGAGGGTCTAGAGATTAGGGACAAGGGTCCATAGCTTTCAGACTAAAGACCCAGCACAGCGACAGCCCACAGACTGTGAACCCTGTGAACGTCTGTCTCCACGCCACCACCCGACATTAAGAACTGTCATCCCTCTCTGAATAGATGTAATAATTGTTTGCATCTTGTTATCAGCCCTAATCTGGTACCAGCAACTGTTTCAATCATTAAAACCTGATGTGTTCAAGCTATAATGTTCCAGGAGGTTTATAGAAAGAAATTTGAAATCGTCTAAAGGTGGCGTCCCGCAGGCTGCCGTAAATCTGGAACATCCACCATCTGAAGATCCTTCTATTTCTGTTTTGTCTGTAAACTCAAAGATTTCATTTAGTGACGTGTAGGATCACTGACATATTTCACTGTCCCGCATCACTTGGTGATGGATCACAAAGAAGTCATGAAGGTTATGGAACAAGCTTTTAAAATGTCAAATTGAAGTTGACGTCACGAGCAAACTCTGCACGGTCTTGAGTTGGAGGTGAGAGTTTCTGTCTTGTAGCCTTGTGATGGAGATTAGGGCAGATTTAGATCACGGCCTACAGAGTAGATGGAGCCAGGTACAGTACGTTAAGAGCAGTCAGCTGACGGCATTGGACAAACCTGTGTTTGTGTTTGAGTGTGTAGATATATATATATATATATACGTGAGTATGTGTGGCCGGAGTGCATGTAAGTCATTATAAATCATTTATGGTCTTCCTCTCATCTTAGAACTGTAACCCTCAGGTTTGTGGGTGCAGACAGAAAACTGCACACTCCATGGAATCAAACTTTTTAATAGATAACTATAAATGAATAGAAAACACTAATACAACCAAATATATGGAATTTTAATTAAGCAAACACAAACCCAGATACCGACACGTGTGTGAAAGGCTCATATCGGCTGATTTTTATTTGCGTTTAGTGGTAAATCGTCAGTTCTCCTTGGAATACATGGACGGTAATCAACAGTTGTATTGTAGTTAATTGGACGTGAAGTTTACAGATGTTAGCTGCTCCGAAGTTACAAAGGATTTTAATCCGACAAATGTTAAGACAGAAGGAAACTTCCAGAGAACTGAGCAGTAACTTCTCAGAGGAACAGTCGCTTCCTCCTGAAGGGATGAGACGTCTCCTGGGAGGAAACCCGTCAGGCGGTGTGTTCACCGACAGCTACAACCACTGAGGCCTCTGGCTGCACAGCCGCTGTTCACGCCGGCTCACACGGCGCAAGAGCCCGTCTCACCCCACGGATCCATGTTTGCAGACCACTGAAGCGACGCCAAACAGTGAAACGCCCCGAGACGATCAATCACAGAGTGCGAGCTCCTGCGAGGCCGCCACCTGTCCCACTTAGAGATCACACACAGTAGAGGAGACGCAGCCGCTGGAAGCTCTAAACAAACTGCAGCTGGCTCAGCAAGAATCCCCATTAAAGAGCTCTGATGAATAAGTTATCAGCCGTTTGTTTCATGTTGAGCTAAAGCGGTGTTACTGCAGCGTGAGCAAAGAGCTGGGACACGTGATGAGGCTCAGCGCTGAAGGTGTAATTACAGCAATAAGGAAGAAACAACCTGTTAATGTGTCATGTCTGCTCAGTAGATTCAGCAGAGGGATGTCAGTGTTGATATAAGATGTGAGTCTGTGAAATGTGAACGCTGTAAAGTTTGGACTTTTTAACGAACGTTTCGACAAACAAACGGTGGCTGGTCTGTTTTCACAGCAAACAAATCTGGCTTGTAAACAAAGAGCTGGACAACACAGACCATAAATGGCTGCCTCGGTTGGTTTATATAGTTTGTATAATTAAAAGTTATTTTTATCACAGTGAAACCAAATCTCTAAACATGGAGGGAAGAAGGTTTGGACTCACTGGCGTTAGTCTGTTAACTGGTGTTTTAATTATTATGGTTTCAGTGAAGTGAAAATAGAGTGTGAGTCCAGAGACGTCAGTGTTAACGTGTATTTACAACTGAAACTAACGGTTTCCTTCTCCCCTTGGTCCAATTTTTCTTTCTTTTGTTTTTATTAATTCCCGAAAACCAGGACACCGAAAATGAAAATATTTGCCCAAATCCATGTTATTGATTATGCTGATTTATTTACCTTTCAGCTCAAGATCTCATTCAACGAGTCAAGTCTCCAGAGCACGTACGAGTATCCATCAGAGAACAGCGCGTGGGACAGCGGAGACGAGGACGAGGACGAGAAGGGAGACGGCAAGGTAGCAGACGAACAGCCGAGCATGGTGGGACGCATCCACATCCCCCGACCCAGTTTCACCAACTCGCCTACGCACACGAACAACAGCAACGGTGAGATGACGGAAATGTCAGCGTCTCTGTCCGTGCCACATGAAAATGGAATCCACATGTTCATGGTCCCCAGATGATTCCTAATGACTTGTTCAACACCAAGGTCCTTGAACTGATCGTTCACGTTAATGTCTGTTAACTTTTAACATTCATGGTCCCAGGGAGAGGAACCCGAAACATTTGGTGACTTTTTTTCTGAAGCAACGTTTGGCTAAAAAAAAAATCCTACTTGTACAACTCGTGTCATAAAATAGAATTTGTGCAAACATAGAATTGGGACAGTGATTTTTAGGAACATGTGACATCAATAAAAACGAAACACATGACGAGGAAATGAAATTAGAAGCAGGAGAAAAAACAAAGGACGCATTTATGCAGAGAGGAAATTAGACAGGAACCAAAGTTTAATGCAGATCAGATAACAGCGATTATTGATTATACTGTGGATTTTCTGATGGAAAGATAAAGAAGAAATAAAGTCTTCAGTTCCACTCAGACTGAAATCCTGCAGTTCTTGGACGAGGGAACTGAAAGTCTTATCTTCAGCACTTTCCCCTGATGCACCACTGATGACCACGTAAACAGATTAGCGAGGCAACATGAGCCGCTTTGAATCCATCTTGGTGTGAATTGTTGTCCAGTGTATTTTCAGGCTGTGTCTTCTTGTGAGATTCAAACGAGAGGAGAGTTTATTTTCTAATCGCCTTACAGACTGAGGCCTCGCCGCCATTAACCATGTGAACCGTTTAACATAGATGAGTCACGGAGTTGAGTTTTACCTCCACCATGAAGTTGCTTTGGTTTTTTTAGCAGGATTACGCAAAAACTACTTAACCATGAAACATATCAAATTTTGGTGCAGATCCAAATAAGAATCCAGATCCATTTAATCTAAATGTGTTTAAACTTTGTGCTCGTCAGAGAAAATTAGTTTTCGTGTGTAACAGTATAGTTTAGAAGAACACGTTGCCATGGAGGTTTGTGTGTTTTAACCAGATTACACAAATAATAATAATTATTAAAAATAACAATAATTATTCAGTGTCTCACAGTGGAATTATTAATAAACTGCATCACTTCCCTCTTTGGTGCAAGTGTCGCCCAGTAGATGGGTGTGATGAGCGAGACCCCTCCTGGACAAACTCTGAACTGCATTAGAGAAAATTGTGGACTCATGCTTTCACCTCATCCGCTCACTGACGAATACTCTTACCGCTCAGTATAAATCATTAATATTAACACATTCTTATGTAAATTGCTAAATGCCGTATCTTCTTCATGTAAGCCAAACGAAAAGAGTGTAAACACACGTCACAGCCCGGTTATTGAAACGCAGAAGATAAAACTTTTCTGTGACGGCGCAGAACATGGAGATAACTCGGTTTATCATTTGTCTCATTGTTATTTCAGACCTTTCCAGCTACATTCCCAAGCACTCGGTGGACTTCAGCGCCTGGCAGGAGCACAAGCATGGCGACGGCGTTTACCAGGAAGACGCCGCTTCCACACAGACGCAGGTGACAGAGGAAGTTATGGTGAGTGAGATAGAGAGAGAGAGACCTTCTCTCAGTCCAGTGTCGGGTGTTGTAGTTTCTCGGCTTCACCAAGTTTTCATGCTTTGTGTATTTCATTCTACTCTCATTTGTAATGTCCAGCTTGTATTTTCATCTTTGAAAAATATCTGATTCCTGGTTTCTAAATTCAATATCGCTAATATTTACAATCACAGCTTCAATACGATCTACATCTCGCCAAGAATCAAAGTCCGACATTACAATCACACATATCCAGGTGTATGTAACATATGTTGTGTTTTCTCAGCTCACACCGGCCGACAGCTCCTCCCTCTCTGACTACAGCAGCGAGCCCGCTCTGTACTTCTGATCACACGGACCAATCAGCTGTTCTGTAGCTTTACAGCATCACACTGGTGTTGGGACCAACAGCAGCCGGAGACGCAGAGGAAGTCGTGTCACATCTGGGTCTGACCCGCCTCCAGCTCCACGTCATCTCTAAGCACATCGTCCTGATCAGAAAGGAAACTTCTTTTTTTTTTGTTGCTGATTTCCTGCCACGGTACCTCCACACGCCACGGTATCAACTGCGTATCAGCGCAGGACAGCGTTTCGTCAGGTGGCTGATGTTTGAGCTCCACCTTCTTTTTGACAAAAACAGCTGGACTGTCTTTCCCCCCCCTCGACCCTGGACAGTTGATCTGTCGGCCCCCGACTCCGTCCACTGGCTTCACATCTCTCCACGTCCGCATCACATCTTCAATGCTTGCCACGGGTTTTTTTTTTTCTGGGAGACGTTAATGGGCAAAGGGATCAAAACCCCTTAATTGAACAGGAAGCCACCAGTGCCCATGTGTAGGTATCGCCATGGTGACGGTGAGTTCAGTGTTAGCATGGAAACATGTCATTCTCCAGAAGCGTAGGTCCTGGAGAGCAAGTTCGCTTTCATATAGCAGCTCGATAGCAGACTCGAACAGTAAAGAACAAAAATAGTTAAGGGTGCCACAAATGTAGTTTTACTGTCTTTCTTTGTTTTTGTACCTGCATGTTTTGGTTTCAACCAACACCTCCATGGGTTCTCTTACTGTAAAGCTTCTCTATGCCTTTTAGTTTTGTACATTTTCCAGCCGACTATGCTGTATTGGAGCTGCCAGACGTTTGGTAGACGAGTCAAACAGCGAGCAACTTCAACACGCTTCCTCCTTTAGTGACGAGGGAGGAAACATATGCACCCGGGGGAGATTTCTGTCAACCAGTAGCAACTCTGATCCCCGATCAAATGCTTGAAGAAGTGACCTTGGCCAATAAATGTCTGTACGTCCGTAACGCTGGTGACAAAACAAAGCAACATACTGTAGAATGTTTCTGTATATCCTCTCTTTCGAAATTCTCTGTGTCACGTTTAGAGACTGTATGTAAACATGGACGACGTGTCTCCGCCTCCCGCCACGATCCAGGCACCAAGCCAAAAAATCCCGGATACGAACGCCGCCATTTTGTACCGAAGAGTCTGTCTTCTACACCGGAGGCCCCAAAATATTGGCCGTTGCGTTTAATAAAAACGACAGAAAACATCTTTGAGAATAATATATGAAGAGCTTTTCAGTTTGGACAGAGTTTATGACCTTTACAGTAGCCAGCCACCAGGGGGCGATGGAGATGCTTTGGCTTCACTTTAGGGGATCCGTGATGTCGTCCATCTTTAGATACAGTCTGTGGTCATGTTTATGAAAAGCTGTCAGACGTCCTGACACTTTTCTTTTGGCTTCTTGTGTATTTATTCCTGCTTCAAGTTGAAGTTTGCATGTCTGAGACCTGTTCATGTACAAAAAAACATTTTTGTAAAGAAAACATTGCTGGTATGGAAAAAACCGGACGGGTCCAAACAGGCCCACTGGATATTTCTTATCTTTATTTTTTTTTTTTCTTCCAGTCGGACCTCATGTACTTTAACATTCCACAGAGAAAGACGCCGCTCCATTGAAGTAATGAAGGCAATGATGATAACGATCATTCATGATGTTTGTGAGAGTGAATGTGTGTGTGTGTGTGTTTGAAAGAATGTGTGATGATTTTTTTAAATTAAGATTTTTTTATATACAGTACAAGAATGCTCCAAGTTTCCAGATGATTTTTAAAAAAAGAAACTCATAATGCCAACTGATTTACGTGTTGCTGTCACAGCCTCACATTCATTCTTCAACCCTACGGCCAGTATTGTTGTACAGTTTCCACCTTGTTTTCATAATTAGGAAGTTTTCTGGAGGACTTTTGCTGTTAGGAGATGAGATTCTGTCTTTGTCCGATGAATTTAGGAAATGATCTGTTTGGAGTCGTGGATGTTTTATGTGTCTCTGCACTGTCATGCTTGTAGCTTTGATTTGCGCCTCGTGAGAGGGAACGAAGGCGACAGGGAATGTGCACTAAAAGAACAAGAGCTGAAGAGTTTTGTTCCGAAAACAACAGCCACTATTTGCGTCTTGTTATACAACCACTCGAATCCCAATGAACGAATCGGTCTCTGGGACTGAGCTCTTCAATCGTACGTGATGAATGCACTGCCGATGATGCCATGTCCATTTTTTTATCCCCTGCCACAGCCTTGCAACGAAAGTCTTATGATTGTCGGCCTTTGCCACTGTGACCACAAACAGTCCACTTGGAGGTTTCCACCATAGACTGTAAATCAAAATGGATGACGAGTCTCAGAAACCATCTTTGAGAGAAATGTATTTGACATGGTCCATCTCCCATCCACTAACCTGGAGGTGGCAGGTGTCATGACTGCAGCCAGCCACCAGGGGGCGGTCAAGATGATTGGGCTTCACTTTCGGGAACCTGTCATGTCGTCCATCTTTATTTACAATCTATCATTTCCACACGGGTCCAAACTTCACATTTGACCTTAACTTGCCTCAACAATTGATGGTTACTTTTGAAATGCATGTATTTAACATTAGTACAAACTATTTGGAAACCACTGTGTTTTAGAAGGTTGAATGTATTAATATTTCCAAGTGTCCATTAAATTCGGATCCATTTTAGTGGCGTGAAAATCTACGAGAAGACTCTTTTGTATATATATATATATATACATTTAAATCTGAAAGATCAAATCTAAAAGTAGACCAACATGATTTTAAAAAATTCAAAACACATTTCATCCAGAGGTAGAGTCAAGGTGCTGCAGGGACAAATTCAAAGAAGTCAATTTAAAATCAGAAAGCAAGAGCAGAATAAAAGAGGTAGATAAATAAAGATGTTGTCATTTTTAAGGAGAAGAATAATACAAATAAAGTGGATGGAAATGTTTAAGATAATAAAATAAAATCAAGACCAAGACTTTTTCAAATTGATCTGCATCATGAAGTAAAATCCTCATAATAAGCGATGAAGACTTGATGTTAACTGACCGATGAAGTTTCAGGAGTCTGTTCATAGATTTTCACACCATGAGTGAATGGATGGAAACTAATGTTTGCTTGAAACAGTAGAAAATCAAACCTGTGCAGCATGTATTTAAAAATATTCAGTGAATTCCACACGATGTGCAGTTCCAGAGCTGAAGCTTCTGAATGACTCGTTGTTGTCTGAGGTGAATTTGCTCCGTAGAAGGCAGCATCTGGATGGAACCTGCTGGAGTCACATGACGCGCCTGTGGATCCATGTGTGGTAACAACTGCTGCCTTCAACAAACCAAACCCCAGAGAGGAATCTGATTCCTGTCAGAGGCAGAATGGATTGTGGGAAACTTCACTGACCATCTTACACCAGCAAGAAACTTTTGTGATGACACAGACACATTCTGTCACTGCAGTGTTTTCTCTTCTGACTCCTTCTGTGTTGGTCACACTGTGGTAGAAGCTCCGTCACGTTCCTTCTTTACTTCCTCCCCTCGTCTGTAAATCTTACATCGCAGCAGATGTGCTTACTGTAAAGTTATCGTCGATGATTCCGGAAAATTTAAATAAAATACAAAAAACAAAAGTGATGTCATTACTTGTACAAATGAAAGCTCAATAAATAGATGACTTGAACAAACAGAAATGTTTTATGTTTCTTCCATCACAGACTTCAGTATCTGCGTAGTTTGATATGAATTATTTTATTTTCATATATTTGGTTGTATTTGAATTTTTTATGTAGTTATTATTGCTGCCAAGGAGGTTTTGTTTTCATCTGCATCTGTCTGCATTTTAGCAGGATTAGGAAAAAACTACAGGAGGGATTTTAAATACTAAAATCTTCACTGATGAGTGTCGCGTTTAAAACATAGAGTCATGAGAGTGATAAGAAAGACATTTATTGGAATAAAGAATCAACAACATATCATTCAAACATAAATAGTCCAGCGTGGAGAATAAACTGCATAAAAAGTGCTGTGGTCAAAGCGAATGACCTCTGGTCGCCATCAGTGCTCCTTCCTCCGACTCTCTGCGGCTTTACTCAGGTTTCCTGCCTCCTGCTTCAGGATGCTGAGGAGAGACTGGGAACTCTCCAGGATCTGTAAGAGGAACAAAAATTAAAGACACTCAACAAACTATAAAAACTATGAGTTGTATGTGTGGGGTCGATGACGTACAGCTGACGTTGTGCTGCTGCACTGTGGAGGTAATTTAAACAGGGTGGAGACTGATGACTGCCTTGTTGTTCTTTAATAAGAGCAGCTTAGGAGTGTGTTTGCAGTGATTAGTGCGAGCGCTCAGGGAGTTCAGCTTCAGTACGTGGGGTGTACCTGAGTGAGGTGAAACTGCTGCAGGAGGAAATGATGGAGAGTAAACCCATAAAGAAAAATAACAGTGTTCCAGAGGGCAGCAGAGTTACTGCGTCAGCCTGTTGTTGAATCACCTATGGATTCCTAAAAGGAAATTAACCTGAGGGTATCAGGTATGTCATCATAAATCTACCGAGGCCTCTGACAGCGTTCACTAACACGAGTTTCTTTAAGTTTCTTTGAGATAAACACTTATTTAATGACTTCCAAGTCTTTTAAATGATGAGAAAGGAATCAAGACACACACCTTGGTGTACGCAGCCTCGGACTCGGCAATGGTGCGGTCGAAGGTGTCGCGGGTGACGAGTCTTTGCGCCAGGCTCTCGTTGACTCTGCTCAGCTTCTCTGTGAGGACGCGGACGTCGTGCTGCAGTCGTTCCTTCTCCGTCTGCTCATCCCTGATCTGACGGTTCAGCTCTTCACGCTTGAAGTACAAGTCCTCGATACCTGACCGAGACAAGAGGGGTTTATTAGACCAGAGCGTGGATCTCAATGCTGTGTTCTCGTGAAGTAAAACGCTTATTATATCAAATACACTGTGTGAGTCTGTGTGAGTGAGTGATTTCCAGGTGATAGACGGGTGTAATCTTGAGTGTGAGTTAATCTGATTGAAGAGTTGGCTGGTCCGACCGGCCAACAAGCACAGCGGAGGAGACTCATAATCTGTTTAGGAGAGAAGAGTGACGGAGCCACAGTTCGCTTTACACATGAAAACACAGCGAGGTGGAGAATATCAAGCAGAGGAATATAAACGACTTCAGGTCTGAACTCTGTGGCTGGTTTTATTCTCTGTGCAGTGGAGACAGCGTCCACAGCAAGACAACACGATTCTGTCTCCTGGTCCCCAGTCAGGAGGACACAGGTTATACCATCACATCACGGGTTCATCTAAAACAACAGCCACACTAAGTCATTATAAGTACTAGTACACAGTGGACAGGATGAGAGTAGTGCAGACATGGACTGACAGTGTAAAAGTACTTTTAAGTCGCAGTTTAAGTCTGAAGAGGGTGAAATGACCTCAGAGGGGAATGAACACTTACACTTCACCAGCTCGTTGTTGTAGGTCTGCAGAGCTGCAGCTTGTTGGGTCATGTTGAGCTAACACTGGGCGGTGCAACACCGGCGGCTAATGCTAACGCTAACGCTAACGTGTCCGTGACTTCCTGGGTGAACCGGGTCCGGTGGTTCGATCCCGCTCTTGTCTCGTGACTTCGACGGAAGATGAATTTTAAAACTCAAAGTATTTCACTTGACGACGTCCTGCTTCATGGCGGTTTCCCGGGCAACTGGGACGTAAGCGCCCACCGGATGTGGTATTTTTCACAACCCCGGAAACCCGCCTCTAGCCGGCCCCCTGATTGGCTCATTCTGATATTGTCTCAACCAATCGTCGCGCTTCATGTGTGAACCTCAGCCAATCAGAGGCCGCCGTCTTCTGGATCCTGCTGCTCCGTCCCTCTATCCCCCTCTACTGGCGACGTCGAGAATCTACTGGGTCGTTTAATATTATTTACTTATATTTTTTAATTATACGTCACACACTTAAATGTACTTTTACTCATTTACTATTTATGATTGTTTTTGCTACTTATTTTTTATTCCTCTTAAAACTATTTGGAGATATGAAGCTATATCATATCTGAACATGTATTTAAAGTATATCTGTACGTATCTCATGTACAGCTTATACCATCACTGTACTAAATATAATAAGGAAGTGTGGTGTTAGTGAACTTGTCTTTTAAATCTCTCTTAAAGACACATTTTTATAGGTGTGCTTTCACCTTGTTTCATAATGTTCATGTTTTCCTGTTTTTACATTTTTCATGTATCTGCGCTTAATTGCTGCGTGATCTTCCTATTGCTTTTAATTTGTTTTTTATGGTTTGCTTTGAATGGATTGAATGCCTTCAATTCTCATTTTGTCAAACTTGTAAATCACTTAAATAAGGTTATTATTATTATTATTATTGTTGTTATCTAGTTTAGTTTCCGGTATGTTTGTGCAGTATTTACGTTTTAAATATCATTTTATATAAATATCTGTCTAACTTGTCTCTTCTTCTAACATCTGATAACGATCATTATTTCGTCGTTTCCAATGTGATTGATTCATTATTCAAGTTTTATTTGTTGTGTAACTGTCATTTTCTGTTATTATAATTATTATTGTTGTCATCATCATTAATATTACTGTCATGATTATGTTATTATGATAACTACCATTATTATTATTACTGTGATTATTATAATAACATTCTCACTATAATCAATAATAATAATAATAATAATAATAATAATAATATTGATTATCGTCCTCCAGGTATGACACCCTCAGTAAATGAATAAGTGTGACGTCGTGTCGGGTGGGCGGGGTTAGTGTGCAGCACCATGGCTTCGGTCAGGACGGAGGTGAGTGTGTGAGCCGGACCCGCGGCCACCTTCTTTTACTTTCACACCGTGTTCCGGGCCCCGGGGACCGAGTCTCTCCCCGGGGGCCGGAGCCCGCGCTTGTCCACCGGCGAGTGTTCGGTGTCGCGGCGGCGGAGGGTCGTGAATTCCCCCGCTGGCGGCCACCGGAGCCTCCTGCTTTTGTGTCGGACCGGGAGGGCAGGAAGATGCTGCGCCCCGGAACGTGAATGATCCGTGCGGGCGCGTTGGCGGCTCCTCTCCGGGGCTTCGTCACACACGTTCCCGGCTCACGTCCCCGTCCCCGCTTCTGCTTTGGCGGATAATAAACCCCAGCACACACCTGCACGTGTTTCCCTTCGCCCGTCTGTTACTCATCGTTTCTGCCGCGTTGTGTGTCAACCGCTCACCGATGGCTAATCTCCACACCGCTGCTTAGCTAGCAGCAGCAGCGCTAGCTTGCAGGCTGTGCACACTTTCACCCCCCCCCACCCCTCAAAAAAAAATCGCCAGAAAAAAAAAGGGATGTCTCAATGTGATCGTTGCGTTTAAACGACGCGAGCTGGTGCGTGTGAGTGATGCGGGACAACGCGGCTTCATGCCCGGGTCTCTGTGTTGTCCTCCCCGGGCTGTGCAGCGTGTTAGCCCCCCGTGATAAATTATGCAGGCAAATGCAGGCAGCGCTGCTCACAACCTCCCACTGTAAACATATGGCGCCACTTCTCACACCGGCTCTCCGGCTCCGGACACTGTCAGTTTTCCAGGTTACACTCCTCCAGCAGCGAGGGGTTACTCTCCCGCTGCAGGCCCGGCTTTGTTAGCTGTTCGCAGGGTATTGTCGCGGCTCTGAGTCGCTGCACACCAGCCTGTGACATGTTGCATTGTTTTTGCAGGTTTGCACCAGTAAAGGCAGACAGATGTGACTTTCATTGCTCGGGCTCAACAACACAGAGTTGTGCAAAATGCATCCCAGCTTCACGTCTTTCCTTCTTCCTTTCTTTTCTTTTGGAGGGATGTGATCCACGCTCGTGCTGCAGGGGTCGCTCTAACAGCGTTTGTGCTGATTCCTCCTCAGCAGTGCTGCGAGTGAAGTGGATCACAACAGTGAAGCTCTGCTGCCACAACTTTGTCCTGTTGATGCATTGAAGCCAAAAAGGACAGGGAAGATATAGAAATGAAAAACGACTGAAAAAAAGCACAACGACAAAATAATATTTACGATATTAGAGAGGATGGACAACGTCTAACGTAAAGTGTGTTGATGTTTCAAGTTTGAAAAAGTTGACAGATGAAGGGAACAGCAGTGACAGTTATAATGATGGAGGTGTTGCCAGTAATAGTAGTATATGTGAGTAGGTATATTGTGTATATATGTATATAAGCAGTGTAGTTGTTGAGATCTACGCTGCGATCTTGGATCTGTAAAAGACGAAGCAGGGACTGAAGCCTGATTTTTGCTCCCGAGTGAAGGTTTGAATAAACAGCAAAACATTTTACAAAACTAAGGCAAATCAATTATGTGTTACTCCTCACTGTGCTTACACAAAACACAAGCATTATATCGCTATATATCCTTTGTGACCATTACTGATATTGTTTTATTGTCATCTGGATGAGCAGATCATTTTGGTTTCACCTGATTTTGTCATTTTCTAATAAGTTTAAAATCTCAGTGCAGTGCTTGTTGTTTTGTTTGTGTATACATTTATTGTCTGTAGGTTCGGCGCTCCTGTTCTGAATTCAATATTTAATCTAAATGATGAATATAGAGCTGAATCTGAACATTCGATGGAAAGAAAATGAACCAGCAATTATTTTGATTGTGGTTCAATTTTTTCAGACTTTTCTTCCAAGCAGATAAACATAACATTCGGTGGTTCCAGTTGTGAGGATAAAATAAACCCCTGCATCACTTCACCTTAGGCACCGGGGAATTACAATCACATCTTCTTTTCCAGTTCATACATCCGTGCATACTTTGCAATGTCCCCTCATGTTTGAGCGACATGCTCCACTGTGTCGCGGCTGACAAGAGCTTCTGCACCTGGTGCTCCAGATTGTGTCAAAATCTGCAGTTTACTTGAATCAATCAGTGACGTGTGCCAACCATCGAGGCTTTATCGATTTCCCTCATTCAGATTAATAAGAAGGTGGGAAACCAATGAATTCACGCTTTAGTTTGAGCAGACTTCACATGTTTGTATATATCAGTGTGGCTCAACTGATACCCCAGCCTCCGCTCTTGTGGAAATGGTGTTGCTGAAACACTCTTATGTCTCATGTAACAGAACAGTGACGTCGTTCAGGCTCTTCAACTTTTACATCTACATTGATGAAGGGGGGGGTGACACCTCCGCTGCAGGCATGAAGGCAGAACATCAAGGCTTGTTCTGGGTTCATACCTTTAACAGAGAACACTGAGGCAGAATAAAGGTGCAACATCAACTCACATTGAACAAACTGTAAAAGATGTTTTTGACGGTGGGGTTGTCTGTGAATCCCCTCGAGAGGAAGGATTGTTGCCCCCTTTTTTGTGCTTAGTTGAAAATAAATAAATTGTGTGTTGGATTTTTGGAAATTTAGGAGGCGATAGAGGAAAGTTTATCCGGTTGACCATTCAACGAGGCTTTTCATTTATAATCTTTGTACACACACAAAATGGTACACGGAGCATTTGAATACCACTTCCCAAAATAATGTTGGTCTGGAATCGAACCTGGGCTGTTGCGGTAAGCACTCAGGCTTGGCGTGTTATACGTGTTCTACTCGCTGAGCTGCTAGAGTGGCATGACATGGGATTTTTTTGTAATTTGTGCTCAAGCAAACTTTTGGAAAAAGATATTTAGTTTTTTTTTTTGTCATTGACCAAAGTGGTTTGGACCTGGTTATGTTGCTAAAGAAGACCAAAGTGATGGAGTCACATCGTGAGGACTGTGAGGGAGATATCGCTTCACCATGTTTAGACAGTTGTTGATATCTTCTCACACCATCTCTGACAGGCACGGCCCAGCAGAGTCCACTTTCTCTTTCGTTTCTTACATTGATGAGTAAACGCTCTCAGTTCATCGTGTTGTGGTGTTTACAAGCAATGGATGGAACATTTCCAGAATGCTTAACACCTTAACTTTGTTGTCATATCCTTTTCACGCCCTGAGGGAGAAAACATCACTGACTCTGACTCTAGTTCTGTGAGGAAAGTCCCATTCACACAGCAAATATGTTTGATGGGGTATTCGCCTCTTAAATTACTGTCGGACGAGCACTGAAGTCAAGATATTTTCCTGAAAACGTTCGTATGTGAGAACGCATTTTCCAGAACCTTCCCTGCCGGTCCCTCAGTAAAATGTCAGAGTGAGCTCATGTGAAAATACAGCTGGAACATTTCTGGAAAATCCACAGCAAGCTAGTGGGAGTGTTGTTCACGTAATCAGGTTCACACCCCGACACCGTCGTCTGCTCTTATCACCACAAACTCTCTTCACATCTTCGTCGAAGTCGTCGCTTTTTCTCAGAGAGATATTTGTTTTTTCTTTTAGTTTTTTTTTCATTTTTGTTGCGTTGGAAGAGTCTTCAACCCCCCCACTCGTGTTGAATTTAGCGTCAGGATCCCCTGCTGTGTTCTCACATCGACTTCTGGATTTCTATGGACCTTATACATGAGGTTAGGCTCAGAAAGTTCGCAGAGACTGCGGAGCGTCTCACTCCGACATTTGCGTCCACACATGCACCTCCTCTGGAGAAAATACGGAGTTCAGTAAACGGCTGAAAGCAGATTATCACTTTTCCGTCCACGTTTATGGTGTAAAACCCGAAACACTTGCACACTCCGCTCCTTAGATGCTCCGGTCTCGTGATTGTCCATTAGTTTGATTATTCTTTGCTCATGGGTGGTGTCCCTCTGTGGATTACCTTGTGGATTTTGCATAGCAAACAACAAATTGTCTGCTCCTGTTTAACTTATCCTGCTCTTTTTTATGCATTGGTCCCTGAGTTCGTGTTTGTCCTATTGAGGTGGTTCATCGTGGTTAAGTCGTGAAACAGAATAAGCCACGACATCTGTACATCTGCATTCCTGTGTCTGAGATTTCCCTGCAAAGAAAACTCATCTCACTCCAAAAATGCCAGATATTTGCTGCTCCTGGCTCCTCACATGTCCAATTTGCTTCTTGGTGCTCATTCCTATTATCTGATTATGAGTGTCGGAGAGACATCACAGTGAATTCTGGGAACCTCAGACGGACGTCTCTGCTATTTCATGATATTTTATAAACTTAACGAGTCAACGAAAGTAACAGAAAATTTAACTTAACTGTAGTTATGGCTGTAACTAAGAAGCATCATGATCATATGACCACATGAAGAACAGGACAGGCCACATGAAGGACAAAGGCCTGACAACAATACATTCACTTTGTGTGTGTAGTTTGTTCTGTTTGTAGCTGAACACTATTTGTTCCCTTTCTTTTTTGGCTCCTTTTGGATCTTTTGTTTCAGGCATTTCCTCCAGTGGCGGCTCGGTCTCTTACTTAATTTCTGTGACTTATTATGAGTTGCGTGGCCTCGCGGCAGTGTTGCTTTTTGCTGACTTCATTGGGCCAAGGCTCTGCAGAGACAAAAGACTCTCCTGTTGGGAGGTTTGGATGAGGCCTGACATCTGCAATGGACAACGTTCGACTTGTCAGGACCCTGACAGACATCTGATATGCATCTAGGGCTGTTATCTCTTTTTACTTTGACCTTTATTATTATTTTTGTACCTTACCGAGGTGCCCGTCCCTGTGCCTGCTCAAGAGCTAAGAGGCCGTTACACAAAGGGGAAGAGGAAAAACCAGAAGAGTTACAATCTGAAGAAGCAGCGTGACAGATATTAATGAGCGCTTCTGTGTGAGATTAAAACATTGGGTTGGATTTGCAGCATGTCTGTGGTGACTCTGCTCCAGTGGATCTCTTTGTTGGCAATGAGGTCTTCCATTTTATGGAGTGGTGTAGCTGTCTGAAGTGACTGAGCATGCTCTGTGGAGACCCTCTGAAGAAGAGGGCCGACAGAGGGAGCCACCAGGTCACATGACCGACGAGGTGAATGGGCATGCGGGGGAAAGAAAAAGAGGAACAATCTGTTCGGCACGTTCTCGCTCTCTCTACCTCTCTCTCTGTCCTCCCCCCTTCTCTCCCTCCCTCTCTCTCACACTCTCTCGCTTTCTCTCTCTCTACCTCTCTCTCTCTCTCTCTCTAAAACACCCACTCCCTCTGACGCCTTCTTCTTCTCAATGGAGGCCATGAGAAGAAAGCAGGTATGATGCTTCCTGGAGGCACACAAGGGAAAAGACATGTTAGCTGTATACTCTTCAGCCTTGGTTGGGGTTGATGGTCTGAGGAGATGCATGGTCTTGTTTCCCAGGTCCTTTTTGCAATTGTTCTGAGCTGCTGATGTCTTCTTAATGAGATGATTTCTCAGTTTGTAAGATTTGCTTCTCAAAGCAGTTGCTGCAGCTTTATCTGCAACAGTGACAGCTCTTGATTCCTGAAATCGAGGACTTGAGGAGGAGGAGGAGGAGGAGCGGTGCTGCTGCGAGTGAGATGTCATGGAATAGCACAACTGCTGTTTATATCTATATATATATTTCACAGGAAATGTGATGTCATTCTCGATATGAGAATATTGAGGTCTGACCTCCTGAAGATCGGATCTTCTTCTGTCTTATCTTTTCTTCTATCCCTCCATCTCTTTGCTCATGTATTCCTGGTTATGCTATAATGACGCTCCTGGGGATTGTGCAGCCTAGGCTGTGTGATCAGGAATATTCTGAAACACAAGACTCCTGTGAGTGCTAATCAATCTAAAGGACGATTGTTAGGCTGCTGTTTACCAGCTGCAGCTCTCTGACTCAGGGTCATACAATGCTCGTCATTATCTGTAAGTTTACAGTTGCAGGTAAATCATTGGCATATTCCTGGGGATATTTTCATGGGGTTTAAATATTGGGCACTTTCTTTTTTTTCTGTATTTGGAGACTGGACAGCAGAGAAGTGACAGGAAACAAGGGGGAAGAGGAAGGTTGGTATCCTGGTCTCAAGCTGAGGTTGTTACTATTGTGCGAAGAGCTGTTTAGCCACCAGGAAACTCCACATGTGTGATTTCTGCTTTGGGAATATGCAGAGCCAAGAATTTGTGAAAGACCTGAGGTTGTTGAAATTTCAGGTTGTGTCAGTGGAAGGGTCACAAAAGGAAGGTGTAAGATAAACGCCACGTTATGACGCACACTTAGACTTGTGGTTTTTGTAAACTGAGATTTAAGCCCTGACTTAAAGTACTAGAGAGGAACAAACTAAAACCAAAACTCCTGCTGCACCAAATCTGATATTGTTCCAACTTTTCCTCAAACTTTGCTTTTTCTCTTGTGAGATCCTAGATAGTTTCACCTCTTCAGGCCTTGTGGAAACATTCACCGCTCATAGGATGGTCTCATAGATGGCCTGAAAAGCAATCCTTCATTTACGTTCTAAAGCTGCGTGATATGCATTTGTGTACTTTATCATCGGGGTGTTGGCTCATTGCTAGCAGTAGTGCGCAGCTGTTTGTGTAATGTGTCTTTGCTTTGTGTTTAGGTAGCGCTGACGTGCTCTTCAGCCCTCTTGCAATAAATCTAAAGATAGGACACATTTGTACGAATGTCGGGTCTTGTCACACACCAGGTTCAGATTATGTTGGAAAGGACAGTGAATGATTGAACCATGAACATTTTATAGCCTTAGAAATAGAATCTGTTGTGCATTTATTTTTATTTGCAGTTTCATAAAAAGGTCCGATCTGATATTTAACATTTGAACCATCAGAGTTTTACTTCTACAGTCACGGCTGAAGCTTGGGTCTCTTCTAACATCTTTATTTAAATATAGGCTCTTCTCATTGCCTTGGCTTCAGGTTGGAGCCTCATTCAGCTGCACCCATATCCCCATCCACCGGCCTCCAAATCCCCACGTTCCCCATCTAGTGGAAAACTGCTGCAATGGCCACGTCGTGTCAGTAAACAATCTGGTTGCGAAATGGCGGAGATCTGCAGACAGCCTTCTCTGTCTCCCTTCCCCCCTCTCCCTTCTGTCTCCAATGTGCATGTTCCAGTTTCCACCACTAGGGGGAGGGATGGTGCTTATGTGTGTGTGTTTTTTTGTATGCAACTGGCTTTTCTCAATCCATGGAAACAAGGAACTGAAGGATTGTTCTCCTCTTCACCTTCACACGTGCTCTCTAGATTCCTTGAGATCATCATCACCACAGGATTGTCCTCATAGATGTTCTTTGCAAGACACCCTCAGATATTCAGCTCCCAGGCCGATTCTTGGCCTGACCTTGTTGCTGTTTGACGAGGTGCAGGTTGGTGTTCGACTCCGGGCCTCGGGAGCACGTGTACATCTGTCCAGACTTCCCTTTCAGTTGGGGTCTCGGCTCTTTGCAGGTTTCAGGACAGATGCTCTCTGTTAGGTTTGAGGATTGAACTGCACGCGTCATTGGAGGACAGCATTTAACTGGCTGATCCGGTTTTCTCTGTCTCTTATAGATGTTATGATTGGGCTTGTTGTAGGAGTTGTGTTTTCTCTGCTTTCCTCAAGATATGTGACTGCACATTCACCTTTACTCTGCTTGGTGCGAGAGGAGTAGTGGTTGTGCCGTCCTATGCGGACAAACTGGCCTGGGTCCATTTCCTTTGACATTGCACTGATCCCTGGGTGGTAAGTGGACAAAGACGTGTTTTTTACGTAAAGTTTCAACAAAAAGAAAACAAAAGCGGATTCATGAAGTTTTTCTCTTGGGCCTCTTTTGTTTCCTTTGGACACATTGTTTCCGGTGTGAGGTCGATGGCCTGCTCTGAATGAAGACTCATATCCTGGTGTTGCCTCTTCAGCTGCTCCCTCCTGTGTAAGAACAGTCTGTGGGTGGTTAAAATGTCTTTTTGAGGTTGCAGCAGACATCTACTGCTCCTCCGATTGGCTGGAGGTTCGCCCTCGTTCTCTTGGCCTACTCTCTAATCTTGTGACACGACACTGAAAAGCACAAAGACAGAAGATTAGCCTTGCGTGAATACAAGTAAGATTGCAGTTGGTTAGGAGGTTATCAGAAAATGAACCAACATTCATTTTGTTAAAACATTCAAGAAGAAACATTCTCTGGTCTCAGCTTCTCAAATGGGTCACTCTCAGGAAGCCTTTATTTCAAACATGGTCAAACATTTTAAAAAGGCATAAGCAAGATCATTTTCTTTTGAACATGAAAAAGAAAGTCGTACGTAATTAGGAGGATTGATCTCCAAACAAATTTATTGTTGAAATTTAATTATTAAAGACCTGTACAGAGTTACAGGACATACATTGTTTTATTTAGCCTACAACTGCAAACTAATCCTCAAAACATTCAATTCACAGCGAAATAAACCTGAGAAAATCATCAAATCATCACATTGGCGAAGCTAAAAGTAGAACGTTTTTGGCACGTGCTTAAGAAATGACCTCGGGACTTAATTGACTATGACAATTGCCGATTGACTAATCAGTTATTGTAAAGAGTGTATCTCAAAGTTTTAGATTGTTGGGTGAATAAACCGAGCACCTTACAGAAAGTACACTGGACTTAGGAAGTGATTTTGTTTTTACAGACAAAGCAACTTGTGGCAAAAGTCGTCAACAGATTAATTGATACTGAAAATAAAACACTCACTTGTTCTTTTTTCATCAGCCGGCTGGTCTAGCCAAGGGCAGTGTGGATAAAGGTGCGTCTGCAAAAAAAGAGGGACTCGATCCAGCAAGTAACGGAGAGGAAAAGTCAGGTATTATACAACTTAAACCTGAAAGCAATTTATTTTTAAAGAATTCACATTGTAATTATAATCATGTCCTTGATTTTCTTGGTCCACAGACGGAGACAAAGAGGTAGCAGTCAGACTGGCTTCCTCCCCTGCAGCAGAAGTAATGCTCAACGGCATCGAATGTGACGACACGAGGCACAAGAGCCCGACACACGGCTCCACGACAGGCAGCACTAAGACTTCACTGTTGTTAAATGAAAATGGGATGCTAGACCTGGAGCCACCGCACGCTTCTGTTACTGGAAGCAATGGATTCATTTTCACTAAGCAGCAGCAGGACGGCAGCTCTGCAGCGATGCCAGGTTTGGGAGCTTCCCCTCACAGGACTAACTGGTTGCCCTCGGGCACATCAGCAGGGGGACATGCGGTCAAACCTGTCTCGGCATCAGGGAGTGCACAGACTTCGGGTGCGTTACGGACTGACCCCAGTACGGGGACTACGTTGGGACAGGGTATATCGGACACTAAAAATGGCACAGCGCCGTCTCCTGCACCCGTCACAATACACAGAGCACGCAAGACCATGTCCAGGCCTGCTGTCAGCCCGGCACAAAAGGTAAACAATGTGAACATGGTGAAATATTTATCTTTGCTCCACATCGGCTTGGTGCTTAAAGACATTTTTCATGCTGGTTTTGTCTAACAAGTTTGTTTACAATGTCATTAACATCTCCGGGAAGTTTGGTCTTTGGCTTTTTGAGTAGTTGCAGGAATATCGTCACGGATCATAAATCATACATTTTAGGCCAAACATTTATTCAGTTTATCGCAAAGCTACTTTTGAATGTCGATCATTTGACACTGAATCACCCCAGTGTTTTCTACAGCCCAGCAAATATGGGCTTTTGGGATTCACCATCGTTATTGTGGAGTAATCAAACCCTTGTGACAGAGAAATATAATTGAGACTTGATATTGTAATCGTTAGTTGGTGAAAAACAGGAAACAGTGAGACAGTAAATCTAATCCAAATACCATCATCCTGAAGGTTTTGCTTCTTGTCACCTACAGCTTCTGAACAGGGAATTAAGAGAAGCAAAAAGTGCCACAGTCGAGAAAATGGAGACTAACGTTGCACCTGATGAGCAGAAAACCTTGCAGCAGTCCTCTCAGAACCATCTACCTCAGAGTCCACCAGAAACGCCAGCTTCTGCACAAACCACGTCATCTGCCTCACCAGCACCTCCACCAACCCCAGCTCCTCCGGCCCCCACCAAGCTCCAACTAGGTCAGACAGAGTCCAGTCGAAAACTGATCTGCTGCAGAAATACTGACTTCAACCACAGTGTAAATGTGTTGTCTTCTTCTCAACAGGCTCGTTCTCCGGAGGGCTGTCATCCCGAAAGAAAAAGAGGAGGATGGGAACGTACAGCCTGGTTCCCAAGAAGAAAACCAAAGTGCTTAAGCAGAGAACTGTGCTAGAGATGTTTAAGGACCTACACCAATCGTCGAAGATCCCACAGGTCTGTTCTCCAAAAAACAAACAATGTCCTTCATGTCCTTTTTGTTTTCTAAAGTATATCACCGTTTAAAGACACATGTAGTATTAGTGGTGTCTTCTGAGTTTGCAGTGACCATTTCAAATCCTTTATTATCGCACAGACTAAAGAGGCAGTGAACATAAATGGGGAGAAGGTGGAAAACGCATCTGAGGAGGAAGAGTCAGAGGAGGTGGAGTCTGAGGAAGAGGAACGACAGCAGATGTCAGAAGAACCCGTCAGTGTTCAGGAAACATCTGAACCCATCTCCCAGGTTGGAACATCGAGCACTTTAGACTTCTTCCCTGTTGTCCTGAGTGGATATGTGGGTAATGGCAGTAGTTTTAAATGATGTTTTGAATGCTGGTGGATTTTGTTTTTTGGGTGGAGGTTGGAGATGAGCAGGAGTCTGAAGAGTCTGGAGAAGAGGAGGGAGAGGAGGAGGGAACAGAGTCCGACATGGTAAGAGCCACTCGCCATCATTACTCGACCTTTAACCACATCAGAGCATTAGATCTCATCTCATTCCACCTCTTTTGACAGAATACCACGAGAAGTAAGTGCAGCTGAAATGTTCTGCTCGTTATTAAATTACTTTCTCTGTGCTGCTGAAGTCATCGCTGAGAATTTACCGCGTCTGTCTGTCTCAGAGCACAGAGTCGGGTCTGAAGAAGAAGTTGAAAAAGAAAACGAAAGGAGACAGCGCGTGGCTCAGGCCGTCCAGGAAACGGAAGAGGAGGTTAAAGGTCAAAGGTGAACACCGTCCCGTCGCCCTCACACCTGTAGAGTCGTCAGGTTTTCATTCACTGTTATTCACACTGCACTTAATTTAAAAGAGTAAATATAAAATATTATTATTTCAACATTGAACACATGGTGCCAAAGGTCCTTCTCGTAATTGTTCTTTAAATAGCGCATTAAAAGTGACTCAGTGGATTCTTTGAGTTCTCTACTTGTAACACAATGAAATCACAGCAACACCTCAATCTGGAATGAAAACATCAGTGATTGTAATTACTCTAACAGGATTTTCTTGTCACATGTCACAGCGTCAGATCACACTGAATTATAGCATTGTTGGCTCAGGCTGTATCCTCAGTCTCACTGCTCACCGCTCTTCTGCTTAGACCTGGAGCTGGTGGTTCATCCTCAGGCTTCAGCTCAGGCCCTGGCAGGTGATGTAAAGGAGTACACGCAGATTGTCCTTCCTGAGTCCGTCAACGCCAGCAAGCCCCAAGAGCTGGTGGCGCCGCCACAGAATAAAGGTGAGCGTCGCCAACAGGAGAAAAAGGTTCAACTTGTTCAGAATATTTATAAATAGTTAACCTGATCTTCTTGCCATTCTTTTACTCTTGTATGGAAAGCTTCTCTTTGAAGATTAAAGCCTGAATATAAAAACTGCAACCGAAGAAGTATCTCAAGTTTTGACTCGTCCCTTGTCTCAGCTGTCGTCGTAGGGTCGGCGGTCGAGGAGTCTCAGGAGCTTCCCCTCTGCAGCTGCCGCATGGAGACGCCCAAGAGTCGAGAAATTCTCATCCTGGCCGATAGGAAGTGCATGGCCACAGAGAGCGTCGACGGACAGCTGAGCCGCTGCCAAAGTGCCGTACTGAAACACGAGATGATGCGTCCCTCCAACTCTGTTCAGCTGCTCGTTCTGTGCGAAGATCACCGCAATGGCATGGTGAAGCACCAGTGCTGCCCGGGCTGCGGCTTCTTCTGCAGGGCTGTGAGTGCAGTCGCTGGATTGGTTTCAGGTCGAATTATACAAAACATTGCTCCACACTTGAGCATAGAATGATTATGTGGACATTGTGTTTTTTGATCGAGCAGGGAACATTCATGGAGTGCCAACCGGACGTCAGCATCTCTCACCGCTTCCATCGTGCTTGTGCCTCGGTGCTGAAAGGTCAGAGCTTCTGCCCTCACTGTGGAGAGGAGGCCAGCAAGGCCAAGGAGGTCACCATCGCCAAGGCTGACACCACCTCCACTGTACCCACCGCGCTCGCTCATGGACCTGCCACACCCGGGGCCCCCGAGGGTCGCGCAGACACCACCACTGGCAGGTAAACTACTGACTGTGGCATCAGAATAGACGGGAAGTTTCCTGAAACGATAATCGAAAGCTACTAGCTACAGTAGTCTACAGGTGAATATTCATACACAATGCAAAGGCAGCAACTTTTGTGTATTTTCTCTATAGAACATTTGTTAAAGAATCCTGTTCTCTTCTTTATAATGAGCATCGCAGATAAACGATGTGTGGACTACATCACTAAAGTATTTTCTCGTCTGCTCTCCAGCTCTTCTCGTTTAGCTGTCGGGGCGGAGACCAGCGGCCGGGCCGACAGCTCCTTTTCTGTTCGTTCCTCACACGGCCTCGACACGTCTGCCGTTCCCGGGTCGTCCAGAACTGCAACACTGCAGACCATCATGGGAACCGCTGCTTCGCCAACAGTTCCTCAAGGACCACCGCGAGAAACTCTGGAGAGCATCCTGGTCGCTCTGGACACGGAGAAGTAAGTTCTGCCACAAGAACTTAAACTTCATTCATCTGAAACGATCAAGAATCTGATCCATTAAGATTTTTTTTCCTGTGCTTGTTTCGATCAGGCCCAAGAAGTTGCGTTTTCACCCCAAGCAACTTTACCTCTCGGCCAAACAGGGAGAACTCAAGAGGGTGTTGCTCATGTTGGGTACAGACACCAGAGATCCTGTTTCTCATGTCATCTTCTTTTCAACTTGTAATTATTTACAGTACCAGCATATTATTTCTGTTTCTATGCAAATATCTGACTTCTCTTACCTTCCAGTGGACGGCATTGACCCAAACTTTAAGATGGATTCTCAGAACAAACGTACTCCGCTTCATGCCGCAGCTGAGGGCGGACACAAAGACATCTGCCACATGCTCGTTCAGGTAAGACTCTGAGGATCCTTCTGTTCTGCCCCGTACGTCCTCCACCACCAGGTTTACTTTACATCAGCCGCTGTGTGTCCTGCTTCAGGCCGGTGCAAACCTGGACATGTGTGACGAGGATCAGCGGACGCCACTGATGGAGGCCTGTGAGAACAACCACATGGAGACGGTGCTGTACCTGCTGAGAGCTGGAGCCAGCGCCATGCAGAAGGTAGAAATGTTTTGGTGGCCGTCATAGCTCGTAGAAGTCAAGTGTCGACTGTGAGACATCAAATCTTTATTCATCAATACTTCACCCTCTTCTCAGGATGTTGAAGGCTTCACGTGTCTCCACCTAGCGGCAAAGTCCGGTCATTACAACATTGTCGAGCACCTTCTCTCCACAGGACTGATCAACATAAACTGTCAGGTCAGTTTTCACATTTCATTTTCTCAGGGGATTTTATATAAAATTAAATTAAATATTTTCACTAACACATTAGTTGTTGTTATTCAGTTCTTGTGCTCCCGTTGATCACATGTCAGGAAGTTTGTAGATGCAAATGTTGTTTGTTATTAAAACCTCAAGATTATTCAGTTCCTGACATTTGACTGTCGGGCTAATGATAGCATAGCTTTGCTCATTCAAAATAAAGGTGACCTGTATTTTTTAACATTTACAATATCATAGCTGATTATATCTGAAGCGATAAATAAAACTCTGTCAAGGAATGATGAACCAAAATGCAGAAGTGACTGATATATATTATGTTATAGATGGTTCCAGCCCCTGACTCTCTGCAAAATCCCCATTTGTCTTTGTCGTGTTGCAGATTAATTAAACAAAACAAGACACAATCTGTTTCAAATTAAAAAATCATTATCATTGAAGATTGCTTTTATACGATGTCCTTTAGGAATACTTTACTCCGCTGATCAGTGATGATTGTTTTTCCTCAGGATGACGGCGGTTGGACAGCCATGATCTGGGCGACTGAGTACAAACATGTTGACCAGGTGAAGCTGCTTCTGTCCAAAGGAGCCGACATCAGCGTCAGGGACAAGGTTAGCTGCGGCGTCTGTCCTCCCTGTGTTCGTCACGATTTACAGAAAAATATATTGCAATTGTTGGTTTACATCATTTCCTCTTCTGTTCAGGAGGAAAACATCTGCCTTCACTGGGCAGCGTTCTCCGGCAGTGTGGAGATTGCGGAGCTGCTGCTGAACGCCCACTGTGACCTGCAGGCTGTCAACATCCACGGAGACTCTCCGCTACACATCGCTGCTCGGGAGAATCGCCTGGATTGTGTCACGTGAGATAAAAAAATTACCCACCTTGAAAGAAAATTTACATAATGAGCTTTTTAACGTACTTTTAAACAAGAGCAGAGACTGATGTGCTGTGCGTGGTCAATAAAACGTGGCCTTTCTCTCCTCAGGCTTTTCCTGTCTCGAGGAGCAAATGTTTTTCTGAAGAATCGTGAAGGAGAAACTCCTCCAGACTGCTGCAGCCACAACTCCAAGGCCTGGGCGGCTCTGCAGGCCAACAGGAAGGAGAGGGACGCCAAGAACAGCAGACTCAGTCGAACAGAGGAGAAAGTCCTTCACAGGTTGATAGAAATTGTACAGGGTTACACTGGAGGGGACAGTTTGACTCATCTGTCACTTAAAGGCTCATCAGATTGGACAACGTTGCAGTTTTGACCCTTTTTCTTTTTGTCCGATTTCCACCGCTTTGAAAACTAACCCTCGTGTCGGCTCCGTTTACAGTGACATCGCTCTGGGACAGGAGGGAGTTCCTATTCCTTGTGTCAACTCTGTGGACAGTGAAACGATCCCAGACAACTACAAGTACATCTCAGAAAACTGCGTCACCTCCCCCATGAACATCGACAGAAACATAACGCACCTACAGGCAAGTTAGAAACCGTCTCATCAGACGTCTAATCAAGAAAACGAATGAATGTTTGGCAGGAGGGGAAGTGACGTTAATTCTTCTTCTTCTCTCTTTTCAACAGTACTGTGTTTGTAAGGAAGATTGTTCGGCAAGTATCTGCATGTGTGGACAGCTCAGCCTGCGCTGCTGGTACGACAAGGTAACGACAAACTACGACACAGACCAAACAGTCAGTAGATAAACCTGGAAGTGTTTGGACACGAGGGCTGTCGCAATATCTGGTTCACACTTATCCAACATTAGGAGAGAATCAATGTTTGTAACATGTGCTGTCATTCTCTCTGTGTGGAGTCACAAGTGATGGGACGTTCCAATTAAATTTCTAATATGACTTAAAGGTCCAGTGTGTAGAATGTAGTGACATCTAGTGGTGAAGTTGCATGTTGCAGCTGAATACCCCCCCCCCCTCCTCTTCCAAACATGAAAGAGAACCTGTGGTAGCTTCAGTTGTTATAAAAACTCAGAAGGTTTTAGTTTGTCCAGTGTGGGCTACTGTAAAAAACATGGCGGCCTCCGTGAGAGAGAGAGAGAAAGAGAGAGAGAGGGTCCGCTGGGTGTAAATTTAAAGGGCCT